ACATTCAAGCGCGATTGGGGATTGCACCGTGCTTTAGCGCAAATTGCCAGACCAACCCATGCTGGGTCGATAGTTTAGGCCAACCTAGCCGGTCCACGGATTGCTTGAATTCGACCTTCCAAGCTGCATCAGTTTCTTGGAAAATGTCACCTGCTATGAAGCTTTCTCCCACGTCTTGCTAATCAAGATTGCATGAGAGCAAGTGGTTGGCAGTGGGCGGAGCCCTAAGCGCGTCACAAGTCCCCAACTTCCTTGTCATACACTTTCAAGCGGCAGAGGTGGCCTGAGCTATGCAGCTTCGCAACTGCGTAAGGGTTTAACCCCTGAGGAAACTACAAAATACTCGTTTAAGTTAAACTGAATTAAGACGCAGTAAAGGCTGACAAAAGCTGACGCAATGATAAGGTAAGATTCCCAGTCGATACCCGTCAAATCACAGATAATCCTTTAACCCTATGCCGTCCTTTATCTCTGGATTCGGTGAGTGCATCCTTTCATCTTTACACAGCAGGGGTACCCTCCAAGGATGAATACCTAATGGGAGGATTACCTTCACGTGAAAATATATGGGTAAGTTGCACTTTCCTGATGAGCACGACACGTCGCACGTTGGAGATCCACCAGAATCCTTTTAGTTTGCTGAAGGCTGAAGGTAGTGGGTCGTGTTTCCCCCCCCCCTGCGAGAAATGTTTTAGGTTGTGGACCTTGCTCACTTTTTCTTCTGTTTCAAGTGCGCTTTACACCCCACCGCACCCCCGCCCCACTCTCGACGGCAGATTTTTGGGAGGAAGTGGAAGAATTAAAGAAAACTCTCGAAAAGTGGGTAAAAAGTGAAGGAGATGGTAGGTGATGTGCGAAGAGGGTCGCATAGAGCGAGAAGCTTCGACGAAGGTCGTATTTTGCAGGAATTCCCACCCTCGCCCCTCTCCCCAACAGCAAGACATGCCTTGCTTATGGGCCTTTGCAAGGGTGTGCATTCTAGAGGACCAGATTCCAGAGGGCCCAGATGACGACTTGTCTAAGCCATTCTTGTTAGGCTATTCTCATCGTCTTCTCAACTACTCAAGTTGGCTCTATCAGCGCCCGAGCGAAGTGATCTGTCATGAAAATGCTCGCCGACAGCGCTGGCGGCGATAACGCGGGTCCGGAGTTTTCTACGACGACCCGACAAAAAAACAAAAGGCGGCTGCGCCGCAGGGGAGGCCGACCGATGTGATCATCGCATCGAATGTCGACTCCTCACCCGACATCGACAACATCACTCAGTATTGAACTGCTCCTACGACGATTCGATCACCATTTTTCAACTACGACAGCGCCAAATTCAGAGTAGTGCTCCGCATAGTGGCATGAATCACTCTGGTTTCCGGGATCTACAGGCGAACAACGTCCATTTTAGCCCCGGATGCTCGACTAAGTTAAACTGTCTGCTTTGCGGCTCTATTACATCATTACCTATTTCAATCTAGGCACAAATTGCTCTCAACAAAGGGACCCCGTGCCTGTCACACTATAGCGTTGTCCCAGTGCGGGTAGTGGGGGGGGGGGGGGGCACAGGCAGAAGTGTAGTTTCCACTACGGGTACTGTAATTTTGTTGGTGGACAGTTATTTTCCCCATAGGCACCCTAAATCACTTGGGCGACTCCTTCAGAAGCCGCGGGCAAAGCATCCTTATCACTAATTAACCCGTTGATAAGGCCGTTTACGAAAGGATTAAATCACGTTCCTATGGAGGATTAGGTGATAAATTTGGCGCTGGGCTACCGATATTTCTGTCACTTGAACCTTCGATTCCTTGTGTTCCGGGTCTGATGCCCGAGAAATTTAGTGTCATTTACGGCATTCCTGACACTTTTACAATCAAGTTATAGATTTGTTTCATTGCCAATCAATTATCGATTCTTTTTCGTTAATTTCAGCTTGTCGACTCTGTCATTCCTGTCACGACAATGATTTTCTCGGTACTTGGCCTGGTCATCAACTCAATATTTATATATTTGACAATAAAAGGGATTAGAGACAAGGTTTTACCGTTGAAGGTGGGCTTTTCAAGCGATATTTCTCATTTTTATTTTTAGGTGCCTAGCACGCTCCGTCCGCAGTTAGATACGAAAGAATTGAACACTGGAGGAAAAACGGAGGCCCTATTTGGGCAAATTCACTTCCCCTTTAAACTGCATGCAATATGCCAGAGTTGGCTTCCACCCGCCACGCGGCCTCTTTTAACACGCGACCTGGTTGAATGGACCTCTGCCCTACACATGCCGCCCATTTCGCTTCAAAAATTCGGTAACTCCACTATTTCAGCGGCCTATTCGTTGTTGTTGAACAGATCGTTCACTGATGTTCTTACCTCAGTTCTGACGCTGATCTTCGTCTCACTTCATCGGTACGATCAAATCCCCGATCCAAAACTTTATCCCGATGTAAGCGCCACCTATTCAATCTGCTATTTACTAGCAATAATTAGTAGAAGCGAAATTTTTTTTTTTCGAAAATCTAGGCGACTTTGGGCTGTTCAGTCGGTCGCATTTGTTCTTCAGTCTAGAGAGCATAATGGCTGTTTGAATACTCTTTTTGGCCACAATTCGCGCTTCGGGAAGGGTGAGTTATCAATGTGCAGCCGCCTGTAAGTCTTGCTAAAGCCACAAAGTACTAGATGCTCTGTTGGAGATTACGTTGTCACCTCTTGTAAAGCAATGAACACGTTGATGGGACTAACAAACGTGCAGAATACCACCCTCCCCCCAAAGCCGATTGCGCCTTCTTTTCTTTGGAAATTTCTATCTCCCAGATAGATTTGGAAATTCTCTTCCTCTGTGAGCCTTTTATTGTTTACGAAGGGATCTTACGAGAGCTGCCAAAAATGTTTCAGAAATACCAAAATATGACACTGGAGGAGTTGGACTATCTGATACCTCATGGCCGGACCATGTTCACCATGCTGCTCACCCTGAACTTCTGGGCATCGGCAGGATGTTATTCTGTCTTGGCCCTGTTCATGTTTCTCGCCGTTCGTCATCCAATCATCTACCGTGTAAAGATCACCTCGAAGCGAACCAGTAAGTATACATTACCTACCTATCTTCTATGAGAGATCTTCAAAAATTCCATGAGCTGGAGACGAACTAATCAATAGCTATATTTTACCCGTAAGGACGGATCGATACCAATGTCGGTAAGCCTTATCGGGCTGAAGTTATTACAATTCAGGATCCGCGAGTTCTCGCGGCGTTCAAGCACTTTTTTACGACCTTTATCGCACAGATGTCGTCACTTGGTATTGATCAGACAAGGGCTTGCATAAATCACAAGCCTAAGGGGATATTCATTTATTTGTAGTTTATTTGTTAAATCATTTGCTACTAGTCCCCCTGAGGTTCCGTTGAATACTCCTCCTTCGCCCCCTCCCCCCAAATTTTTTCGTATCTGATGTGATGTATAATGCGTGAAAGGGGCAAAACCATCAACTGGAAAATTTCTCTCGATCCAATGTGCTTCCACCTCCCTATCTCAGCGAACTAATACGACACAAATGGGTTCTGCACAACGATGCTGTACTTTGTATCGACCCCACGTCGTCATTGGTGACCCCCAGCGGGGGAGTCGTAATTGGTCGGTTCTAAGGGAGGGAGTCGTATTTGCTTTTTAGAATATTTCTCCAGTTGTTGATTTTTCTCGCTATATCATACCCCCTCGCACGGACCCCGCCGCCCACTCTCGCTTCAGCGTTCGACAGTTTTAGTTTTTTTTGAGGAGGGGAAAGTGGGGACTTTATAAAGCGCGAATAAAATCGGGAAGAATATAGGGAGATGGAGAACGGGAAAAGCGGGGTAGTACCAGAGGAGGAAATTTTGACGGGAAAGGTCGCATTTCAGAGTTTTTTTTCTGGACGATATGCTCTTGCTGCGATTATTGCTAGTGCCTTGGTGGCGCGTCCCTGAAGTAATTTGTCAACCAGCGCTTCTTTAGTTGGTAATTTACCGGGCTAGCCAGCATTCAAAATAATGTTGGCAAGGCACGTCATGTCACCGCTGCAGAAAATTTTTGCAAAATACGGCCCTCTATTTCGAAATTCTCTCCCTTAGCCTCTAAACAACCTTCTCCATCCTGCCCCTATCACCATTTCAAGTCTCCCCAAGTTGCTATCGCTTTTGCGGATTTTTCTTCCTAATGGTCCTCCGCCTTTTCTTAAAATACTGTCGTCGAGCGAGCGGAGCGGAGGGGAAATACGACGCACTTGAAACAGAAAAACCGAGCAGTTACAAACTGAAAACATTCTTCTCACATGTAAATACGACATCCCTCCCTAGAGCAAGCGAATAGCTAGGCTCCTAAGACGTCCCTGGGTTTAAGTGTCCAAGGACATGAACTCGCTGCTATTGACTACAGGGAGTGGAAGGGCTTGGCCTGACCCAAACGAAATTCGATCCAAAGTTTGATCTTCAAACTTTACGCATCGATGTGGCACCACTTGTCACTACACCTTTTGCGTCCAGTCATTCAAGTGATACACCAGT